CTCACCTAGTTTTCCTCCCATCCCACAAGACTCGATAGGTGGACCGAGTAACATTATTATTATTATTATTATTATTATTATTATTATTATTATTATTATTACTAGCAGTAGTAGCTAAGTTAGGTTATGGGATCTTGCTCCCTATCCCTACGAAAATCTCCTTCTCACCTTCCTTCCAATTTCATTTCTGCTGGCGGTAGCATATAAAACGCATAGGGAAGGTCACCCCGAAAATAAACCAATGATGGGTATGAGTGAGCCTCAAAACTTACTACCCCAAGCGAGTCGAGCATTCACGTCAAATCTCGCCACCAATGCTGGTCGAGTGAAAGCCCCGATGGTCGGTGCCGGCTCCATGGATTTTGGGAGGAGCCAAGCTCACAAGAGTGTCTGGGAAGAGAATAGGAGAGTGAAGTTTCTGGAGTTGGGGAAGAAGATCGGGGATCTCCTGCATTTTGTCCTGCCAAGGAATAATGTTCACGGGGGGATAAAGCGTATGGTGAGTTCCATCTGAACAGACTTTGATGAGATGGTGGACATGGAGGAGTCACTATATGTAGCTAGCTCGAAGACTGTTGAGGCGGAAATGCAGACTTCACAGCAGACATGGGGTATTGATCCGAATACTGATGGTTATGGACGGCCCTCGACAGCAGCGGTGGAGTTGCAGCCTGCAGTGAACAATGTAATTGACCTAAAGACTGTTGAGGCGCGGACGCGGACTCTGCAGCTGACGTCGGGTATTGGCCGGAATTCTGATTGTGGTAGGTTCTCGGCGGCGGAGTTGCGAACCGCAGTGAACGATGTGATTGGCCCGCATGCTGATGATTGTGGTGGGCCCTCGACAGCGGCGGCGGAGTTGCGGACCGCAGTAGGCGGTGGACGAACTTCGTCGTGGAAAGAGAAACCGCTGAAATCTACGGGAGTAGCAGAGAAGAAGCTATCAGAGTCGTGCAGGGAAGGAACATTCAACATGCTGAAGTTCCTCAAGCACTGCACAAACCGTCTGATGAGACACCATACCAAAATAATTAGAAGGTAATGGATTGGCATATCGTAGGGATGAAGAGACCGGGGCCGTCGAAGCCGCACTCTTATCGCCCCGGTTCCGAAATTTTAAAGGTAAATGACGGAGGCCCTTCCTCTGATGACATTCTCTGGCAGATCACGGGCGACCCATCTCTGAAAGATGCTGTTGAGAACGTCGCAAAGGTGAGGAGGAATGCAGCCGGATACCTGCTGCTGGAGTTGCGGAAATCTGCAGCAGCCTCCGAGATATCTGAAGCTATATCCAGAAAACTGGGTGAGTTAGCAAGATTAACGCCGCGGAGAGACGAAATGGCTCTCGAGATTCATGACCTTGACGAGCTAGCAACCGCGGCTGAAGTCTGTGAAGCTGTAAGCGGGGAATTGAAATCACAAGTTGAGCTAGCAAGTGTCATATCCGTGCGGAGGGCTTACAGAGGCACACAAACTGCTGTGATCCGTCTATCGATGGAACTAGCCAGGAGGGCATTGGGGAGCGGCCGTGTTCACATTGGGTGAGTGAACTGCCGCGTTAAAGAGAAAGTAATTGTGCGGAAGTGTTATCGTTGTTGGGCGTTCGGACATCTGGCGCGCGACTGCCAAGGGACGCACAGGTCGAAATCCTGTCACCGATGCGGAGAAGACGGCCACTTACGCCAGGCTTGCAAAAGCGCTCAGGCGAGATGTGTGCTCTGCAAAGATAAGAGGAACCACCCGATGGGGAGTTTCACGTGCCGGCGTACCAAGTAGCAATGAATGCAACGGATAACAGAAAGTGCGCGAGATGAATAAAAATGTTGCGATACTCTGCGAGCAGTACAGGAATATTGTCGGTCTTCAAACCTGGGTTTCGGATGCGACTAACCGAGCTGCTGTATGGATATGTGGGAATAATCCAGTGCAGGATTTTATGCAAGTCCCAGGGGATGGATTTACCTGGATCAAGGTGTTCGGTGTATATTTCTATAGTGTTTATGCTGTACCCAATGCATCGCTTGAGGAGTTCGAGGAATTACTTGATCGCTTAATAGATGACGCGAGAAAACGAAGGCCTCTTATTATTGCTGGGGACTTTTATGCATGGGCCACGGAGTGGGGCAGCAGAGTAACGAATCGACGCAAGGTGGCTCTCCTGGACAGCCTTGACAGTTTGGATGTCTGCCTCTGCAACATGGGAGCCAGTCCGACCTCTGTAATGAATAACTGTAATGAATAACGACCTCAGTAAGCGTCGTTGCTGGAGAGAGCTAGGTGAGGAGGTGGACGCTGACCCCTGGGGGCGCCCGTATAAGCTGGTAACGGCCAGACTCAGGGGTATGTCCAGGCCACCACCCACTTGCCCGGTTTTCTTGGGAAACGTTGCAGCTACTTTGTTTCTTCGCCGATATGTTACAACCTGAGGATCGGCTTGAAGATCTAAGCGAGGTTCCGGCAGTCACGTTGGATGAACTTTCCAGAGCTTGCGGCAAGGTCCAAGATGTAGGGTCCAAATGTAGCTATTAAGACCGCTATTAAGGCCCGGCCCGGCCTATTCTTACAGGCATATAACGCATGCGTACGAGAGGAGAATTTCCCCCGTCGATGGAAGCAACAACAGATAGTCCTTCCGAAGGGCGATAAGGCACCTACTGATCCGGCAACCTATCGGCCAATATGCTTACTGGATACAGCAGGCAAAGTGTTAGAGCGGATCATTTGCAATCGTATTGAATCATTTACAGAAGGGCCTCAGGGATTGTAGGAAAATCAGTACGGCTTCAGAAAAGCGAGACCCACGGTAGAAGCAATTAAGGTAGTCATCGACATCGCACGCAAGGCCTTTGAAGGCAAACAATGGAAAGGAGGTCCTAAGAAGTATTGTGCTATAGTGACCCTAGACGTGAAAAACGCCTTTAACACTGCAAGGTGGAGCTCCATTCTTTCTGCGTTACAAATCCTTGGAGTTCAAAGGTACATCTCAAACTTGGTCAAGGGTTACTTTAATCAGAGGATCCTCCTATATGAAACTGGGACCGGAGTAAAATCTTAAACTGTCACAGGCGGTGTCCCGTAAGGCTCGGTACTTGGTCCGATGTTGTGGAACACTATGTATGACGCCGTGTTGAAGTTGCCGGAAGGCGCAAAAACTATTGGATTCACTGAAGATGTTGCAATTGTAGTTGTCGGCAAATACATCGAAGTCACGCAGGTTGCCAACGAGGCAGTGGCGGAGATTCGGCGGTGGCTTCCGTCGGTAGGACTACAGATAGCCGAGCATAAAACAGAGGCTGTGCTGGTAACGGGCAGAAAAGTGAGAGAGTATTACTCTTAATGTAGGAGGCTGCAAAATATCCTCGCAGCTGTCACTGACGTATTTGGGAGTGCATATTGACGCGAGGCTGCGCTTCGACGAGCACCTGCGCAAATTCTCCGATAAAGCGTCTCGTATGGCATCGCCATTGGCACGCATTATGCCTAATGTAGGGGGTCCTGGGCAAAGAAGCCTGAAGCTGCTGCCTAGCGTAGTAAACCACCTCGCGGGTTGCTCAAGCGTTTCGCTCTGTAACCTATGATGCTGTGTGTTAGTAGATATGCCTCCTATCGACCTCACTGCGCAGGATAGAGTTAGACTCTACTTGCGCAAGCGGGAGGGGGCTTCAAACTGGAATACCATCACGAAGAAGAGAGGGGGTGACAATGGACCAATGGTAACAACGATGGGGGATGGACATTTCGGGTCATTCCAGACATCATGACATGGATCCAAAGGGAACATGGAGAATTAGATTTTTATCTAACGCAGTTGCTGACAGGGCATGGATGTTATCGAGAGTATCAGCTCCGATTCTGCTTGGACCTCAGCTCCTCATACCCAACGTGTTTCCCGGTGCTTGAAGATGTAGAACACGTTCTTTTGTTGTCCACGCTTCGCAGTGGAAAGGGACGAACTCCACAGACTCTTCCAAGAGATAGTGACCCCTGAGACCATCTTCACTTGGATGCTGATGACACAAAAGTATTGGAATGCGGTAGCCACCTATGCCGCAAAGGTCCTGAAGACGCTCCGCTCCGAGGTGCAGTTACGGAGAAGTGTCCCGTAATATGTTGAAGTGCGAAAAGCCCATCCTTCCTTCTCGCGATGCAATGCCTAACAGCGGTTTCGCGGGAAGGATTAGGAGGAAAGGGGGTGGGGGGTTAGTGGGCAGGCATAGGCTAACTATGAATCCACGCTGCGGATTGTGGGCCTCGCAATGTCTTTAGGTTTTCCCCTAAGAGAGAAGAGAAGAAGAGAG